TCCAATATTTATTTTAAAATAGTATTCAATATTGTAAAATACATTCATGTAGTTCTATTCAATAAATCTATCTGTTATAAATGTAAGTAACACAAGGAATTCTGAGTTGTTTAAAAGATTCAGATTGATTCACATGATGGTATTTTCTATGATTTTGTCCAAGGCAGTTTGATTTAAATCCCAGTGCTATTTTGGTCCCATTCCTGCAGGAATCCACAGGAATCCGCAGGAATGGAACCAGATTCCTGCGGATTCCTGTGGATTCCTGTGGATTCCTGAGGATTCCTGCAGGAATGGGAGGGGCACTGTAAAGTACTGCTGGCAATGCTCGACCCCCTCCAAACTTTGCCAGTCATATGTGTTGGGCGTTGGTGTGGAGCTGGAGACAGCGGAGAGGCATGATGTGGTCGATAACGATGGTGGCAGCGGCAAAGACGTGTGATTGTGGCGAGGTTGTAGCTTGACGAGGGAGGCAATGGGGTTGATGACAAGAATTTGTGCCCTTTTTGACGCTGCGGAGTATGCTGAGTATGAACATATTTCCCACACTCTTCGTCAAGTGTGTTTCACTAAAGTTGTTCCAAAGGCAATCCGAAGGGGGTGAATAAATATAAATTTAATGATTAAAGAGGTGCTAGATACTATGGACTTCATAAAACGTGGTACTTGAGTGAGAAATGTGGAGGTATCATAATTTGTGGGTGACACTGTTGAACAGCTTTAGACGAGAGCTGGTGTCCACAAAGTAAACTCCTAGCTGCCAGCTGGGATCCAGCAGGCTGCCCAACAGCTGTCAATTGGATAGCCGACAGGGGGGAGGTTTGATGCCGATCAGGAATTTCGGCATTCTGCCATCACCCTGGGGCCCAAATGGCAGTGTAGGCGGAGGAAATTCGTCGGATATTAGACGTAGATTGGTCAGATGAGTATATTGAGCAGTGGAAGGTAAGCGTATTAGCTGGTTATCTTAATTTTCAAGTGCCCATGGAAACGTGCTTCTTCAGGCAAGGTTGAGAGAAGTGAGCCGGGCATACCTTGACGTTACGAAGACGTTCATGGACCAACCAACCAACTTGGCAAAAGTTGAGCAGAAGGTATCTATTTCATTTCATTTAAGCTTCAACTCTTTAACTCTGTCTTTAGTTGTGGTCAGTGTACCCTGGTTTGTTTCTGAGGGAAGACGAAGAACTTCAGTTACGCAGAGATTTGGCCCGAGCGTATATGTCAAAGACCTTTAGCAATGATTGACACAGAGAGACAACAGCGTCTGTTTCTGCTAAAGTACGCATCTTGTCCTCTTATTTTGCGATATAAACTTTCATGGCATTCTCATTCAGAGAACTATCAAACAGTTGGAGGTCTGTCCGTTTTCATTCCTACGTTTGGAGCAGTGAACCTGATGAGTTTTAGGGAGAAAATCAAGGCCCATCGGAACCCGATTCAGCTCTAGCAGAGCCTGTCCATGAACCATTCCAACTTCATTGAAGCGCATCCCCTCCAAACGAGATATCGGAAGCAGAAAACCCAACAGCTGAAGTCGCATTGTTTCTGGAAACTGCTAGTACCCCCGACATGTCCCATTTTTTGCCCAACTTCATCAGTTTTGGCTGCAAAAGCGAAAAATACCTGTCAGAAGTCAGTACCTGGGAAGATGTTGAAATTACGGAATTTTTGAAGCTTGTATCCAATAGTGGGGAGTCTAAGTTGAGCGGCATGGACACTCTTGTTATCAAAAAACATTTTCGTCGTTTTTTCGGCCCTCCTTAGTACTTTCTATACACAATAACTTGTACATATTTTCTCACATCTAAAAATCATCAATCCCTCAGTTGTTATTTGGAATTCCTTTTGACTTCAGGCTCTGGTGATATTAAGATTACGGCTACAGTGGATATCCTGTCAAGGATCTTTTATGCACTTTGTAGGGTATGACTGCCATGCTGGGGGAATGTTGTTATCATATCGTATATTCTATCATGCCAGTGCATGTTTACCTTCGATGTCCTGTTTATATCATTCACTACAACTGTCGTAGTGAGAATCTGTGAGCCAAACTTTAAGATATGCCTCAACCTTCTCCATGTCATTGTGCACCATCAAACCGCATCATTGTGCGCCACCTTTTTGCAGTGATATAACAGGTCATTTCTGTCGATCCGGTACAAGTAGTGTTTAAAGGTTCAGTCCATAGGACCGCAAAAAACCGGTGGACTGAACTGAACCGGACCATGGACCGGTCTTTTTTTCGGTTGCAGTTGCCCCAATTTGGGGGTTGGTCCGGTTGCCAGTTGCCTCATTTCGAAAATCTTTTAAAACCGTTCAAAGACCGGTTTTAATCGGTTGCAACCAGTTAAACGGTCACGTGCGTTACATAGCCTTGTAACCACGTTTATTGCCTTTTATTGGGTTTTTGTTTCATCAAAAACGGTTAAGAATTGAGAAAGATATAACCAAATCCATATTTACCCAAGTCTCTATGAGATGA